AGGCTCCCTTTGGCTGGGCTGCCACCTGGGAGTTGCACCAATCAGGCTGGCCTGGGGTGCTGTGACGGCAAAGAAAGAAGCATCACGTCCAGGAATAGTGAGCATGGAATCCTGAATATTCAAAACCAGTCTATATAAACCCCACCTCTCTCATCTTGATCATTATGAAGGACATGGGCAAGAGGAGATGGGCCCATCCTGAGGACAGCCACATTCAGTGACTGAACTGCTGTACTGAGGTGTGTGGACCTGGAAGGAGAGCCAGAAGTCTTTTTGAGTTGATTTTTGAGGGGCCTATTTCAACGCTCAACAGTACCACATGCCTGTGGATGATAGGGAGCGTGAAAGGACTGCCCAGTACCTAGGCCATCAGCCCATTGTTGAGTGGCTTTGGGGATAAAAGTGCACCCTTGTTAGACTTCAAATATTCCCGAAAGCCAAAAATATGACACACAGTAGTCTCAAGAACCACAATGGTGTGGCCGAAGTTGGCTGATTGGACTGGAACTGTAACCTGAAAGTGCGAGGCACCTCTGATAACCCCAAGAGGAAGTCGAAGGTCCCATGCATTCAGTCTCAATGCTGCATACACTGTGGCCTCCCTCTTTGCAGGAGAGACAGGTGAACTTTTGGCAGGAATCACAAGTCTGGCATGGAGTGGTGGCCTTTGCATCAGAAGCATGGAGTCCTTTACTTTGTGCCCACTGTGTGAGGGTGGACATGTTGCCATGTATTCTATGATGGATCCAGGCAGAAATGGAGACAATCTGGGCAGTGCAGCCTCAGTCAACACCTTGATTCCTGTCAGCCTCATCAGATAATGGGCCCTTAGCATGGGCATCTAACATAAGTGATCTAGAAGGCTTGATCAGCTGTGATTTGTCTCCACAGTTAGCTGAAAACATTGCCATCCAAAACCGTCTATTGGGCAGCAGGGTTACTATTACTGATATTGTATATCTCACATTTGGGGACTCCTTGACTCAGCAACTGCAGCCACATTGCTTTCCAGCTGGAGCTGCAAGGTTCACATCCTTTGGGTGACCTGGGCTTGAGTTGGTCAGTCTAGCTAAAGATTTGTCAATTTTGTTGATCTTTTCAAAGAACTAACTTGTGAGTTAGTTGATATTCTCTGATCTTTATTAGAGCCTTCCTTCTGCTTGCTTTGGGTTTAGTTTGCTCTTCTTTATCTAGTTTCTTAAGGTGGAAGCTTAGGTTATTGATTTGAGACTTTTTTAAAATAATGAATCAAGATTTCTTTTTCTAAAATTTAATTTAATTTAAATTTTTTTTTTTTTTTGCTCTGAGGAAGATTTGCCCTGAGCTGACATCTGCTGCCAATCTTCCTCTTTTTGTATGTGAGCCACCACCACAGCATGGCCACTGACAGACAAGTGGTGTAGGTCCACACCCAGGAACCGAACCCAGGCTGCTGAAGCGGAGTGTGCCCAACTTAACCACTAGGCCACCAGGGCTGGCCCAGAGACCTTTTTTATATAAAAATTTACAGCTATAGGGGCTGGGCCCATGGCATAGCGGTTAAGTGCGCACGCTCCGCTGCTGTCGGCCTGGGTTCGGATCCCAGGCGTGCACTGATGCACCACTTGTCAGGCCATGCTGTGGCAGCGTCCTATATAAAGTAGAGGAAGATGGGCATGGATGTTAGTCCAGGGCCAGTCTTCCTCAGCAAAAAAAAAGAGGAGGATTGGCATGGATGTTACCTCAGGGCTGATCTTCCTCACACACACACACACAAATTTACAGCTATAAATTTCCCTCTGAGCACTGCTTTGGCTGCATCTCATAAGTTTTGGTATGTTAAGTTTTCATTTTCATTAATCTCAGATTATTTTCTAATTTCTTTTGTGATTCTTCTATGACCCACTAGTTATTTAGGAGTGTGTTGTTTAACTTCCACATACTTGTGAATTCCTCATATTTCCTTCTGTTAGTGATTGCTAATTTTATTCCATTGTGGTCTGAGAACACAGTTAGTATGATTTCAACCCTTTTAAATTTATTGAGACTTGTTTTATGGTCTTTCCTGGAGAATATTCTATGTATACTCGAGAAGAATATGAATTCTGCAGTTGTTGGGTGGAGTGTTCTATAGATGTCTGTCAGGACTCAGGCTTGACTTGCACAGCTATGACCTTTCTTTTTTAAGGAGACCACCTTGATACAGGGTATTTCTGTCCCACTGTCATAATAATATCTCTTGGTTTTGCCTTGTTTTAATATAAAGCCTAGGAGAGTTTTCCAGGGCAGTAGAACTAATCACAAGAATTTATCTAGATTTCTTTGGGTCACATTTGTCAGCATTATAAACCCAAACTAAGACAATAAGAGCCCAAAGAGTAATCAATGCCTCATCTGTGGTTTCCTATGGGAGTCTGTCTGTCTCAAGGAAATCTCCCTGAGAGGGACTCATAGCAGCCAGGACACACTGGAGGAACAAAACAAACCTGAGACCTTCTACTGTCATCTTGAAATGGATACAAGGTTGGTGTGATAGACTGTAGGAAGGGCTGAGCTGTAAGATGGCCCAGCTGTTGCCATTCTTCCTTACCAAGCATCACATGCCTTGTCCCTCATCTCCCAAGTGAGCCAACCAAAGTTCTAATGATTCATCTGGGTTTTGTCCATGGCAGTAGTGAATTTCCATCCATTCATGTTTAGTGTGGGTGTGTCTATAAATGCTGTCTGAAAGAGGGTGGAAACTTCTGAATTCCCAGGATGAGTCTTAGTACTGATTGTTACAATGGGGCAGACCTGAGGCTGACGACTGGATTGTGAGGAGCTCCCCCTCCACTCTCCAACCCCATCTGGAGGAGAGTTAGCAACCACCAAGGCAATGTCTGGTAACTGACTTTGAACATACTTCCTGGTACTCGACCTGCAATTCCCTCCCTAATTCCTTCTCATGAACAAGAAATAAAGTTGAAGAACACTTATTGTTTGGTTGACTATACAATTTGGTCATACCTGCTGCCAATTCCCTTGGTCTTCCCTTAAACCCTGTTAATCAGTGCATGAGGTCCTCATCCTTCCTCTTACAGAAAACCATGTTTCTGTCAGCATCCCTCCCTCATTGCCAAAACTATCAAGAACTGTAAAAGCTCTTTGATTTTACCCTACTTTCAAACAAAAGTTAGAGTGACACAATTTCACGGATGCTGGTGGAAGACACGAGACTTCTGGATCAGAAAAAAAGGACTTTATTACAGCACGACAAGCATTATGAATGTGAGCATATTTATGTCACTTCCCCTTACCCTCAAGTCTCATGAAGGCAATGCAGATGGACTCACAAGGATGCCTACACACATGGTAAGTTGTGTTACAGGAGAGGAATTCTGAGCTTAGGGCACCCAAATATTGTATAATGGGTAGTAAGTATGCCTGCCCTTTGCTCTAGAGGGAGCTACTATGTCTGTTGTCCAAGGCTGTCCACTATAGAAACATCCTGGAAAAGACAGACCAGAACAAAGGTAGTGTCTCTGCTGATTAGACCTGCATAAATGCAAGAGACTGGTAGAACCGTCTCCTAACACCTCTCCCCTCACATCTCACTAAATCCTCACAGCAACCCCGCCAAGTAGGTATAAATAGTTCTGTTTTACAGATGAGTAATTGAAGTTCAGAGAGGTGAAGTAAATTACTCCAGGTGACATAGCCAGTAAACAGCAGATCCAGGGTCAAACCCAGGCCGGCCTGATTCCAGGCCTGTGCCTTGTCCACCCTCCTGTGGAACTTGAGGCAGGGAGGGGCCCTGAGGGGAGAAAGATGATGGGAATTCCCTTGAGGAGTGGGAGAGGAGGCATGCAGGGAGAGTGGGAAGAGATGAGGAGGGCCAGGGGTCGATTTGTAGGACCTTGGAGACCATAGTAAAGACTTTGGATATTTGTCTAAATGTGATGGGTAGATGCCGGAGGGTTTTAAGCAAAAGAGTGACATGATCTGATTTATATTTTTAAAAAGTTACTCAGTTTCCTGCTCTGTAAAATGGGGATAACAGTAGTACTGACCCCACTAGGTCATGAGGAGTAAATGAAAGGGATTAAGTGGGAGGATGAGTGTAAGGGTCTTGGTGCCAAGCAGAATAGGCCATGATGGATATTCGATATTGGCCATGATGATGACGACAACACGGAAGGGTGCATTGAGGAATTCAGGCTGGGTAGACAGTAAGGACCTGGAGGGTCTGTGCATACAAGCTAGAGTCCAAGAGTCCCTCTAGTCAGCTTGGCAGAACTCACGTGGGATCAGGCCCTGGGTCAGCTACACTACTGCCCAAGAGCCTGCTAGTAGATGGAGAGAGTGAAGAGGGCACAGGGCTCTCCAAGTAAGCAGGAGGCAGCAAGGGCCAGAAAATGGCAGTTCCAGGGTAGGAAGAAGATGGGGCCATGAGGAGGGCACTAAATCTTCAGGAAAGACTGCGAAAGCATGTGCTGTCCAGTCAAAGAAGGAGGTTGCTGCTGAAATTATGGTGGTCTAAGTCCTAGCTCCTTCTCCAATGCGCTGGTGCACAGCCTTGAGGCACAGGCTGCACATCTGGGGACTGCTGCCTACGGCCTCTGGCTTCTCCAAACCTAATAAGGGAGAGGATATGTATGGAAAAAGAACACAGAAGAGGAAAAAAAAAAAATCACCAAGGCCACCGTTCAGGGAGCACTAGTAATTTTAATAGCAATCCACTCAAGGAGAGCATAACGGTCACAAACATTTGTAATAAGCTCTCATCACTACCCTCCAGCGGGCATCCCTCAGCCGGAGCCAGACCCGGAACTGCGCATGCCCAGTACAGCGCTTTTCAGTCAGCAGGGTTTTTTTAGGGGTGGCATCAGTCCCAGGTTTGCGGGTAGTGGGTGAGCAGACTGGGACACCGAAAAGGCTGAAGGGGAGGGGTCTTGAAATAGGCTGGAAGGTAAAGCGAGAAAGATCCCCGCCTGGCCTGCCTCGCCGGTTGAAGTGAGAAGCCTGAGGAAGCTGCACGCGCGCGCACGCGTTTGTTATTATCACGGGTATTGTTGTTGTGAGAGCGCCACGGCCCCGCCTGCCCCGGGTCCGGTCTGTGAGGAAAGGGAAACCCCAGGGGAGGCCGAGGCCAGCGGGGATTTCTCAAGCCAAGCGCTCCCGTCCAACCGCCGCGGGCAGGAAGGGCGACCCTCCGCAGCCACTTCCAGGTCCTGCGACCCGAGCGGCGTTACTACGGAGACGCCCCTCCTGAGGCCAGCCACTTGAACGTTTTGTCCACGGGGTTCCCGCTGAGGGGCGGGCCAACAGGGCGGGGTCCAGTCTGCAGCAGACACGCCCTACTCTGGGCATCGCGACGCCGGAGCAGCACAGCGAGCGTCATTTGCGCCCTCAGCCTCGGCCCAACACGGAGGGGGCGGGGACGGCGGACGGCGCTCCGCTTGTGCGTCACTTCCGGCGAGCCTAGCGGCGACAACGGCAACATGGCCCTGAACGGCGCTGGTGAGGACTTGGGCTGCGGGGGCCTGTGGCTGCGGGGTACGGGAGGCAGCCTGCTCCGGCGAGACCCCCCGGTCCCTTGTGCCTCTCCTCCCCCAGAAGCCGACGATTTCTCCTGGGAGCCCCCGACCGAGGCAGAGACGAAGGTGCTGCAGGCGCGACGGGAGCGGCAGGATCGCATCTCCCGACTCATGGGCGACTACCTGCTGCGTGGTTACCGCATGCTGGGGGAGACGTGCGCGGACTGCGGGGTGAGCAGAGACTCGGGACGTGGGATCGCGCATGGGGCCGCGGGCTAGGCCGCACGGCCCTTCCCCAGCTCTCCCTTCGGGACCCCATTGCCCGGCGTCTCACACTGCCCCCTGTGCTGTCTGTCCCCAGACGATCCTCCTCCAAGACAAACAGCGGAAAATCTATTGCGTGGCTTGTCAGGAGCTCGACTCAGATGTGGATAAAGATAATCCAGGTGAGGGGCCGAGTGTGCTTGGCGGAGAAGAAGCGTGGTGTTAGAGGCCCGGGAACAGTAGGCCTGGGAGGTGACAGTGGAGTCTGTGGGTTGGGCAGAGGTGAGGTGCTTTCCCCTTTCAGCTCTAGAGAGGACCATTCATTCAGTAAGAGGTTTAAGCACCTCCTGTGTGCCAGACGCTATGGAGAGTCTGAACTCAATCAGGCATAGTCCTGATGGGGGAGATGAAGCAGGGCATAAGTAACTCTGATACAAAGAAGAAAATGAATAAGTTGCCTTATAGAGGGGCAGGCAAAACATCTCAGGCACAGAAAGAACAGAGCAGTAAAGAGTAAGGAGGTGGCTCAGGACTGAGGTGGGCCAGGCATCCTGACCATTCCACCCACTTTCTCCTCTTTTAGCACTGAATGCCCAGGCTGCCCTCTCCCAAGCCCGGGAGCACCAGCTCGCCTCTGCCTCGGAGCTCCCCTTGGGCTCTCGGCCTGCCCCTCAGCCCCCAGTACCCCGTCCAGAGCACTGTGAGGGAGCTGCAGCAGGGCTAAAGGCAGCTCAGGCCCCGCCCGCTCCAGCTACACCTCCAAATGCCGGTGTCCTGGCCTGCACGCAGGAGGCCCTCCTGCAGAAGCTGACCTGGGCCTCAGGTGAGCTGGGCTCTAGCACCTCCCTGGAGACTAGCATCCAGCTGTGCAGCCTTATCCGGGCCTGTGCTGAGGCTCTGCACAGCCTGCGGCAGCTGCAGCACTAAGAAACCCCCTCCTGAGAAAAACCCTCTAGAAAAACAGCTGTTCCTCTGGTGTGGTTTGTTCTTTTCTTGTTCGGAGTGTGCATGCCAGCCCCAGCTCCACTTGCCTTTTTCCTGCTTTTGGCCTCTCCCCCTACCACTGTCTGCTCTCCTTGATGCCCTGAGAGTTGAGTTGGGCTTGTTGCTGCGCGGTTTCCCCACTCAGACGATGAAGGGGGAGGGAGAGGACTCTGTGATACTATTTTTCTGAGGAGGAGGCCCCAGCCTCCTCAAAGGCAGGAACAAGAGGGATGGGCCTCTGCAGCACCCCTGCAGCCTTTTGAGCCATCCAGTTCTCATTCCCACCCTTGAGTGAGATTTGGGGTTCCAATTCTCTTGGTAGCTTCTCCTTCTGCCCCCGAGCATCCTGACACCGTCATCCTAGCCCACCTCTTGCCCAGCCCATGTGCTCAGACACTGACAGGGCATCAGACTCCACGGTAGTGACCAAGTATGGACTTAACCCAGTCTCTTGACCCCCACTTTTAGATCCTTTTCCTTGGGCGTTATAATTGGGCAGAATAATTAAACACAGTGTTGGGGGGAAGCAAAAAGAACCGTGAAGGAACCGCGCCTGCCGCTTTTGGCTTCTTCCCTCCTCCCTTTTTCCGTCTCCCCTTCTGTCAGTGCCGCATTCCTTTTTCTCAGCTTTGCGCGACGTGGGGCGACCCGGCTGGCCCACAGCCGTTGCCCTTTTAAGAGAGGCCCCGCCCGCGCGGAGGGGGTGGGGCAGGGGCGGAGTCGGAGGAGTCGGGGAAGGAACAAAGCGCGGCCTGCGGGCGGTGGCGGGGCTCAGCCGGCGGGGCCGGGGGTGCGGGGCGTGTGGGCGCGGCCCCGGCGGGGCGTTGGAGGGCAGGAGGGGGCATCGCCGTCCGCGCCGGCCCGGCCATGAATGGGCTGCCCTCGGTCGAGGCGCCGGGCGGCGCGGGCTGCGCCCTGGCTGGGCTCCCGCCGCTACCGCGCGGCCTCAGCGGTCTTCTCAACGCGAGCGGGGGCTCGTGGCGGGAGCTGGAGCGCGTCTACAGCCAGCGCAGCCGCATCCACGATGAGCTGAGCCGCGCCGCCCGCGTCCCGGACGGGCCCCGCAGCGCCGCCGGCGCCGCCAGCGCGGGACCCGCCGCCGGTCCCCCCGGCCCGCGTCGCCCTGTCAACCTCGACTCGGCACTAGCGGCGCTGCGCAAGGAGATGGTGAGTAGTTGGGCCCCGGGCGGGCTGGGAGGGGGGCTGCCGCCGAGCTTAAGGGTCCCGGGGCGGGGCGCAGCGCGGAGGCGGGGAACCAGGTACGCGGCCTGGGTCTCAGGACCTGCAGAAGCCGGCTGGGTCAGAGGGGGTATGGTAACAATAATTATAGTTACCGTTTGTGACAAAAGTTACCATGCATTTTTAAATGCTTTGCTCGTGTTATTTCATTCCATCCTGCTAGATGAATGTTACACCCATTTTACAGATGAGGGTCAGTGACTTCCCTAAAGACTCATAGCCTGCAGGTGGCGTCTGATGTCCACAAAAACTGGTGCTTAGGAAGGTGCGGGAAGATTAGCTTGGGTTGAGGGTGGCCTGGACCCCAACCCCAGCCCACCCTCAGTCTTTCGCAGGTGGGGCTGCGGCAGCTGGACATGTCCCTGCTGTGCCAGCTGTGGGGCCTGTATGAGTCGATCCAGGACTACAAGCACCTGTGCCAAGACTTGAGCCTGTGCCAGGACCTGTCATCCTCCCTGCACTCGGACAGCTCCTACCCACCTGATGCAGGCCTGTCCGATGACGATGAGCCTCCTGATGCCAGCCTGCCCCCAGACCCGCCGCCCCTCACTGTGCCTCAGACGCACAACGCCCGCGACCAGTGGCTGCAGGATGCCTTTCACATCAGCCTCTGAAGAGCTGGGGGGGCGGGGGGCATGCACCCGTGCAGAGGGCTCAGAACTCACCCCTCAGCAAGTACTCAGACTCTAGTGCCTGCTTTGCCCACACAGCTCACCTCATGGGAGGGCAAGGCCTGGGCCCCTCAGAGGCAAAACTGCTGACCGATCCCCTCTGTCTTGGGTCCACTGGCACTGGGGCAGGCACCTGGGCTACAGCCTCTGCCCATGGCACTGGACCTCTGCTTCTCCCACGTGTGCACCCCAGCTTGGCCAACCCTCAGTCTCGCGGTGGGGCCCAAAGCGTCTTGCACTCCCCTCAGCGCCTCTGGGATTGGGAGGAGTGTGTGGCCCCACCTCCTTTTCACCTTTTGCTGCTATTGGCAGCTGCTGGCTAAGGGGCATCCCACCTCTGGTCCCTGGGTCCCACTGCCCTAGACAAGGGCTCCAGAACCCATTCCTGCACCCACCACGGCCAGGAGGGCCAAGGCTCCATGCTGGATATTTAAGTTTAGGGGCCAGCTTCCTGGGCGCATAGATAAATAAAGACTCTCTCAGCGTTCTTGTGTTCTGCCTGCCTGGCTGTGGGGCGGGAAGATAGCGGAGTTTCTGGCGAGCGCGGCCTCGCGGTCCGCCGGCAGGTGGCGCCCGAGACCCCGCGTGGAAGCGATGCTTGGTTGCAGGGTGCGAATCCTCCCTCTCCGGGCGGGGGTGCCCAGCCTTCCCAGCTGGCCGAGCCTGGTCTCGAGGTTGTGTTACTTCGGGCGAGTCACTTCCCGTCTCTGACCTGCGGCCTGGGAGCCCAACCCCCCTGCCCAGTCGCTTTGGGCTTTCCTGGCCAGCCGGGAAGGAAGGTGAAGGAGCCGCCCATCTTGAGGAGAGAAACTTTCCACCCCGAGTGGAGGCGGAGTTGGGGCGGCACAGGAAATGGGTGGGCCCGAGCCGGCAGGCCAAGGGGCCCTTGGGGAGGGGGGGAGAGGGAGAGGGGAAGGCGCCTCCAGAAAGGGCTTGGGAGCTAGTGAGTGCCCTATGTGTGAGAGGGGAGAGCTGCAGAGGCCGAAGGGGGTGACGTCGCGGTGCTCCAGGCCTCCCCATAGGCCAGACAAGCCCTGGAGGGCAGATGGGGGCAGGGCCCCAGGCTTTGGTGCTTGAGACTCCCAGCGGCGGTGAGGGGTGATTGGGGTCCCAGACACCCCCATTCCGCACTTAGTCTCATACAGACTGCCTGGCTCTTCCCCCACCCCCCACACTTGTGACCTTTAGGGTTGTATATAAAAGGCTTTCTCTTAACAGAGGAAACTGAGGACCACACCTCTGAGACTGGGAGCCGAACCTAGTGTCAGACCCGCTGAAAGACGCTTGCACATCTGGGGACGGTGGAGGCTCAGACCACGCACACACAACACCCCCACAACTTCCTGAGACCAAGAGGAGACCTCAAAGTTGCACACTTAGGCTTGTGGGCCCTCATCTCCAAGCTCTGTTGCACAGTCACTTGCCTCCTGGAGACAACTCAGCTGGCACTCCTGGCAGATCAGACTGCCTGTTCACCGAGTGTTTATCAAGCACCAGGCTTCCGTCCATTCACAAACCCTGCAGAGCGCTGGCACTGTGGGTAGGGAACCACTGAGGTGCTGCCCCAGGGCAGTTCTCTAAGTCAGGACCTGACACCTGCAGCCACTCATTACCATTCGGGGCAGCCGGTAGGCGATAAACGATAAGTACTCTAATCTAGGTGTGAACAGCGGCTAACACCCAGGGCAGGCTTCTCAGGGGAGGGAGAGTAAACACACACACACTCTTTCCTGTCCATGATAACGGATTCCATTTAATGAGACCTCGCAAAATCAGCCAGGCTCCGTACTAAATGCTATCCAAGGTTTCATCCTCTCAATGACTCTAAGGGCAGAACTATAATTATCCCTATTTAACAGGAGGAGAAACTGAGGCTCAGAGGGTTAGCGATTTGCCCAAGGTCACACACTTGTTGGAATTCAGCTCCTTGTGGGATGTTGGGACCATCTTCCCACAGGACAGCTGAAGAGTCAGATTCTGAGACCAGCGAATGGGTGCTGCCCACAGGTAGGGCCACCTAGCTTGGCCCCTGACCCTGTGCCTTCCTGCTCTGGTTAAGACGTGGGTGGTAGCAGGGGTATGCCACCCCAGTGTTAGGACAGTTGGCTCTGGCCCAGATTCTTAGTGTGACCCTGAGCAAGTCTCTTCCCCTTTCTGGGTTTCTGTTTCCCCAGGCTCTGAAATGGGGCCACCAGGACCTACCTCCCCGGGCTGCGGGCAGGAAGGGAGGCGGCACCGAGTTGCCAGGTGCCCTCTCCCGGGCCGCGTGTCCACACGCCTCGGCGCGCATCGAGCGGGCGCTGCGGTCCCCCCTCTTCCCCCGCACCGCGGTC